ACCCTTTTTTAGACATTTTGTTAATGGCTTCGTGATTTTTACGAAGTTGTCAATAAATCTACGGTAATATCCTAGAAGGCCCAAAAATCCCTTTAGTTTCCTTGGTTGTGGAAGGAACAGGATAATTTTTTATTGCGGCGACCTTATCCGGGTTTGGTTTTACACCATCCGGGGTGACAATACGGCCTAAATACGTGTCTCGTCCCGTCTCAAATATTCGGATTTGTCTAATTGGATCTTAAAGTTGGCTTCCCTTAACCTCATAAATACTTCGGTTAATTTTTCAATATGTTCTTGAAGAGAACTTGAGAAAATAGTAATGTCATCTAGATAAGCAACGCATTTTTAGTATTATCCATCACTCTTTGGAATGTCGCCGGCGCATTCTTCAACGGCATTCTGGTAAATTCCCAATGTCCACCTTCGGTACTAAAAGCAGTTTTGGGGATATCGGCTTCGTTTACTTCGATCTGGTGGAACTCGCTTGCCAGGTCGAGTGTGTACTGGCATTTACTTAATTTATCGAGGAGGGTAGTAATCTTTGGCAAAGGATATTCTTGATCGATACTTTTTTGATTAAGTTTACGATAGTCTATTACAACGCGTTATTTTTGTTCACCCGAAGCGTCCATTTTTTTTAACAATCCAGATCGGCGAGGGCCAAGGAGAGTCACTAGGTCGAATTATTTCTCGATGGATAAAAGGGTAACGGTAAGTCTTAGTATAAACAGGTATTTCGTCGGTAGTTCGTTTGTGGTGTTTAATTTTGTTAGTAAAAGTCAGGGTAATTCCGTCACGGTAAAATATATCTGAAATTTTGTTGCATAAGTTAATAACGGTTGCTTTTTCCTCTGTATTTAGATGATCTGTACGTATAATCTTGGAGTCAAAATCGTTTTTTTATACATCATTATAATTGTTTACATTAGTATTTTCTAAATCGCTTTTACAAAATGATTCTAAAGGGTGATTCAATAAGGTTTTCCACATTAAAATAATAAAAAAAAACTCGGAAGAATATAAAAATTACAATTAAGTAGGAAAGTTGATATCATTCAAATGACACCGCGACTCATGTGGCATGGCGTAATTCGTTTATTGAAATTTCCTATCACTTTTTGACACAATTCAGGTCCTATGCCGGCTATTTCGCGTCTAATCTCCTGTTTCAGCTCTGGAATAGTGTTTGGTTTATTTCTATACACTCTGCTTTTTAGATACCCCCAAAAAGAAATCTAGGGGAGTAAGATCACATGATCACAAGTGGCTCCATCCTGTTGGAACCACAAATCTTCAATGTCCATACCTTCCAACTGCTCCCAGAAAAAATCAGATATCATATTTCGATAGCGAACACCATTAACCGTAACAGTGTTCTCCGCAATATCCTCGAAAAAAAAGGACCAATTTTTCCTCCGCACCAAAATGCGCACCAAGCAGTCACTTTTTGAGGATGCATTGCTTTTTGAACAATCTCTCTTGGATTTTATAATCTCCAAATACGAGCATTGTGTGTGGTAAAGATGATTTTCGTTGAAAAATGAACCCCTTGTTCTCGTATCCATTCTGCAAACACGCTGCGCTGTTGATCTCGAGGATTCAACTCCTAAGTTATTTAGACTTTATATGGGTGTAGATGCAAGCCTTTTGTTAATATTCGCTGTGTGGTTGAATACGTAAGCCCCACTTGCTGCGATCGATGACGAATCGATGTGTTTGGATCTTCGGCTACACTTTCGCGAACAATGGCAATATTTTGATCTGACCGACCCGCACGATCACGTTGAGGTTAGTTACAGATCCAGTTTGCTCAAATTTTTGAACCACATTCCAAACTGTCCTCTCAGAAGGTCGATTTTGCGTGCCGAAAAATTCACGTAGAGCTCGAAATGAATTTTTTCTTGATTGACCATTTTCATAATAGGCTTGCACAATTTTTACACGTTGTTCAGTCGTATATTGGTCCATGACTAATTTTGTTTATGTTTTGAGGTTAGAAATCTCATATGATAATAAACAAATACAGTGGCGCTTCAAAAATATTTCAGATTGTAATGTGGAAACTCTTATTGAATCACCCGTTACTTCCAAGGGTTCTGAAAAGTTTAACTTTATCGGTTCACCTGTATTATTTAAAATCGTTGTTAAAGCTTTTCCGTTTCGTGCTATAGTCAAACATTTGGGTATTTCATAATTGTGAATTTTTTGGTAGGGATCAATAATTTCGCCATTTTTTATTTTATTTTAGTATGAGGTGTTGTCAAAAGTTCATTTTCAAAATTTGAACTAGCTTGTAATATTCTTAAATGATCAATTCCTGTTAATTCGTCGAAAACGTCGTAGAATTTAAAAACATAAAATTTTAAATTTAATGATTCCGGTAGTCTAAAAATCTATCTATATCTGTGAGCGGATTTCTGGAACACGGTTGAGACAATAAATGGATCGATTTTTGTACTCTTTGGGAAATATTTACTTGCCAGAGTAGGGTTAATAAACGATTTAGTTGAACCTGGATCGATTAGAAGTTTCAGGTTATATTGAGGAAGAATAATGTAAGGAAGTTCACTGCCATTAGCAGTGTTTAAAGATAGAACCGGTGGTGTCATATGTCTTGGACTCTCGGCAAGTTCTTTTGAAAATTTTGATTCCCTGTGTCATTAGGTTTTACATTTGAAGAAGATTGGGCATTACTTGATTGATATTGTACACTGGGAAATTCTTGTTGCGGACCCTCAATAGAATTTTGATATTGAGGTAGGTCATAAAATTGATCTTCGTAGTAGTAATTATTGGGATCGTAATTACGACAGTAATTTTCAGTAGCTGTTTCTGCACTATAGAGTTCCTCAACCTTATATTTTGGAGGTTGGTGGGATGGACCAGGTAAGGTATTTGGTCCATATGTGTGTGTCATAGTCACACTCATGGGGGTTGGCTTAGGTGATGGTTTAGGTGGGTCAGGTCCAAAAATGTTAACCTGATTCTGGGGTTTGCCAAATACTTATTTGTGAAAAATCTTGGTGGTCTATAGTTTGGGTTTGGCCTGATAGGCATTCGCTGACTGGGAAAATTTGCGGTCTTGCAAACTGTGTTCCGAAATTGAAATTTTGATCTTGTTGTGGACGCGGATAGGAATGCTGAATTGGTGTAGGGAAAATAATTTTTGGTTGTGAATTTTGTGAATACCCAATATTATCTTCTTGTATGACAAACTGTATTGCCTCCATTGCGCATGCATCTAATTGTGGTGCCTAAAGGTTCTTTAAAACCCGAAAGAAACGTTTTGAGTGCTAGTTTTTGATATAAATCGCGTTTTACCGCGGCAGCTTCTCTATTTTCATGCGAATCTACATAACTACACACTAAGTTCAGTAATTCCCAACACTTAACGTAAACACGTTGCGGCGACTCGTTCGGTTGTTGTTTTAACAAAACTAAGTCCCTATTCAAACCACTTCCATCTCATCTATCAGCAAAATTCCTTTTTACAAAACTTCTGGATTCCTCCTGCGTCGGTTTTTGCTGAGTCGAACTTGCTGACGTTTCACCAATCATCCTGTTGGCTTCTTCAGAGCTTGACTGTTTCAAAAGCTCTGAAGAAGCCAACAGGATGATTGGCGAGACGTCAGCAAGTTCGACTCAGCAAAAACCGACGAAGGATGAATCCAGAAGTTTGGTAAAAAGTATTACAGTAGCAGATGGAAATTTCTTTGAAAAATTAGCAAAATTCCTATTTAAAGTATTTTTAAGATCTTCCCAATCAGTAACTTTTTGTATATTAATTACTAGCCTAGTATTACCACTACTTTTCCATATTAAAGGTACTGTCATAGTTTTCGACTAACCTCGTATACCACTTGAAAAAATGGATACCTGGTGAGTTTTAAGTTTTAGAACATGCGAAACTTTTTAGGAAGAATAAGTTTTTTTCTTATAATAACAAAAAAAATACCATATGGTGAGACATATTTGAGACATTCCTAACAGAAACCGGAATGACTTTTCTTATTGATCTTGGGGACCGAAGCAAATGAACGTCAAGATTTGGGATTAAATATGTTTCGATAAGGCTGTATCGATTTCCTGTCAACCGCTAGTCCAATTTCGCAGCAAATTGCTTTTCCGTGGCAGTCGATATATCAATTGCCTTTATTTCGTTTCCGAATGTCATTTTCTTTTAAAATATTTATATATGACACGCGCCGATACGAAGAAACTGCGGCAACATCGAATAAGCAAATAAAATAAACATCAAATGTATTCGTGTTTTGCGAAAATGTACCCAAAAAGTAACGGTCGTAGAAAGAGTATAGTTGCAACATGTTCGGTAAAGTTTTTAACTCACTCGTTTATTAAACACACGCTACGCTCGTGTCAAATAAACTCGTGAGTCAAATGCCGTTTACTATTTTCTACTCCCGTCTCTAAAATACCTAATTGCACACCGATCTAGCGTGCGGGAAACGTCACATTACAACTTTAGTTTCGTTTCCCATGAATCCGAGCCACTTCGGACATTTCCGGGATTTTATCGCACAGGTTTGGGATCAATCGGATGTTTCCGGAGATATCTCCCACGCTTTGAGTTTTGATGTTTGTCAATTCTGACGGTCATGTCAGTGAATGTATTCGTGTTGTTTTGCGAAAATATACCCAAAAACTAACGGTCGTAGAAAATGTATAATATGCAACACGTTCGGTAAACTTTTTAAGTCACTCATTTATTAAACACTCGCTCCGCTCGTGTCAAATAAACTCGTGAGTCAGTTGCCGTTTGTCGCACTTGTTGCATAATATACTATTTTGTTCTTCAAGTTTATTAGTAAATAACTTTTTTTTTAATTTTAGACTTTTTTTTAGAGCCTTGAATTCTTTTTTTGGGAGCAATCGGATGTTTTCGGAGATATTCCGGCAGGGCTTGAATTTTGACGTTTGTCGATTCCTACGATCCAATTTTTAAGTCACTCGTTTATTAAACACTTGTTCCACTCGTGCCAAATGAACTGGTGACTTAAATGCCGCACTTGTTGCATAATTTACTATAACAGCATTATGACAGTCAAGTCCATTTACATTTGTCGGTCTATATGTGATGTATGTTCCTAATAGATATTTTTCGATTAAAACTGGAAGGCCTGCATTCTAAAAATGTTTGTTTTTTTTGTCAGCAGGCGGCACTGCGAATCGATAATCCACTAGATTTGTGACGTCGCCGACTATTATCTCTTCATTTCGAATATTTATTACCTTAAAATATAATAACATCGATTACAAACATTATCTTCGAATTTAATCATTGGACGCTATCTTATCCGCGATACGAGAGGCAAAATCAACTTTTTTATTGAACACTAAATTAGTAGTAAGATACGCGGCCGGGTCGCGGTGGTTATTAAAGATGTCGGTTTGCGAATACTGCGGAAGCGTTACGCAGAATAACGACAATTGTAATCTCTCTACGCCGCTATACGAAACGCAAGGCGGTAGAAAGAGCGGCTGGTTATGCTTTTCCGGTTGGTGTTGTAAAAATGCGAACGATCAGAACGCTAGAGGTCGGAAGGAGACGCAGTCCTCTTCCGATTTTCCTAGAGACGGCAGGTATCAAAGACGCACCATTCAATTCGATTTCGACGCCAGTTCGTCAGCGTCGTCGAAGAAAATGCAATCGACGGTATCGTCGTCGATACTCAAATCGAAGGTAAGGTTAAATATCGTTTACCTTCAATTCGGTTTACCAGCACCACCCATGTGCCCAAAACATTTATTTTACTATACCAGTCAAATATGATGAAATAAGTTTATTTTACGTCAGTTTCGTTTCCTTGGGATGCTAGCCACTTCCCGGATATTTCCCCAAGGGATTGGGAGCAATCGGATGTTTTCGGAGATATTTCCCACGACTTCAATTTTGATGTTTTTCAATTCTGACGGTCAGTGAATGTAATTTGCTGTTTTGCAAAAAATGTACCTAAAAACTAGTCATTCGTTTATTCGCTGCGTTCCTATCGTTCTCGTGACGTGATAGCTGTTTAACACACTTGTTGGATATAATACAATTATTCCATAAAAATATAGGGGAATTATTACTTAAATATGCTAATAAAATTACGTCTATTGAAAAAAAAATCGAAGAAGCATAATAATCAATACTCAAGGCCAGGAAGAATATGAAAAACATGTAGAAAAAATAAATGCTTAAAATTATCGGAGGTATTAGAATATCTTTATGTTTATTTTTTCAGTTAATTCTTGCTCATCAAATTCACCAACCTTATTTTTACAAAAATTTCTTTCCAGTAATTCGAACAGAGTTTTGTCATTTTTGTGACAAAGTTTTAATGACAGAAAGATGTGCAACCTATAAAAATTACATTTAGCATGGTTAGTTTTGAATGACGTCTGTAGCTTTTTACTTTAACGATCAATTTTCTGTTTGTAAAATGAACTCGCTCTTACAAAATCGGGAGGTTCAAACATACACATCCATTTCCGGTGAAAAATTATTTGGTAAGAAGTACCTCGCCAATTCCCGGGTGCAACTACTACTCGGGAATGACTTAAGCAAAACCAATTCCGTCGTGACAAAGCGGACAAGAAAAAGGAGAACATTTAGGATAAGAATGCCCAATATGCCAGTTAGTATTGTTTATGTTTTTTTTTTCCAAAATGTTTTCTAATTTAACTATTTGGTCTTTCACCGACTTACAAACTACCACATAATGTTCTTTGATGACGTGCTTATTGTTAATTTTTGTTGCAGAGGAATTCGCAAGACGTCAAATATGGACAAATAAAGCCACTTCCAAAGCACCAGCTGAAGGTAAGAATCAAAATTTTTGAAAATTTAAATCCGAATGAGATTTCATTGTGGTAATTTGGTATCCATGCCATGCCCTCCAACATCCCTCAGAAACCATGAACGATAGAAAATAAAGGTAAATAGAAAAGGCCATAGTTTAATCTAAATTCGTTAATTTTCCATGTTCATCTGGTTCTTTTGGGGTAAATACCAACTTTAAAAAGAAATTTAAAAAAGTAAAAAAAGAAATACGCTGGACAAAAAAGAGAGTTGGATTGTGCAAATGGAGTAACATGTATATTACAATTTATCTGTTTTCATATTATCCTTAGTTCTATATAAGTTTTGTTTACTTTATCTTAGAGTAATAAATATCTAATTTTTCTGCCCATCGCGATAATTAAAATCATGTATACCTAATTATTATTATAAAAGGATCCCTCATTATTCAATACACAACTGTGTGTTTAGAATGTTTTGTTTTCCTTTTACCCGGCTGGAATAAAAATCTTGATTCTCAGAAGACGCTTCTCCAATATTCTAATTCACAACTTTCAAATTCGTTGTCTACCCGCGGCGCCGGCGGGGGTTTTGTTCTAAATTAAAAAATCCCTTCTTTTTCCCGAAGAAAGTTCCCGATTACGCTAATGCGGGGAAATTTCGCGATTCCTGATATTATGCTACGAAATTATAATTTAAATTTATTATGTGATTTTTTAATTATTACCGGTGCTATTAAACATCTGACAATTGAAATATTTTTAACACATAATTAAATGTCGTACGAATGGAACGCAAAAATAAGCTCTTTAACTTTCATGTATAGCTTATGTCATAGTGTTTGGCTTTTAACTGCATTTCAGTAATTATTTATTAAACTAATCATAATTAAGACTGAAGAAAAATGTAAAGAGAAATGTACTAATATATGATATAAAACAACCGATTAAAATAACTTCAATAGAAGAAGACACATTAGTATAGAGGAAGAGGTGAAGAAATTACAAGAAGTGAGTAACTAATATCAGATAAGCGGATGACTCAATTCTTTTCACTCACAGTTTGGAGGACCTACAAACCTGGTAACCAGTCAAAGATGTTGTCTAGATTTTATGTTCAACTACACTAATCTGGGTACAAATTTAAACGCGCTCAAATAAGGAAAGGAAAGGCACGATCAGTCTTCGCTAAAATGAACAACGTCTTCAAAGGCCATCACCGTCCAAACAAAGATCAGACTACTAAAATGCTGTGTGCTCTCAGTTCTTCTGTATGGAGTAGAATCTTAGACAATGACGGATGCATCTATGCGAAAGCCGGCGGCATTTGTGGTATAGTGTTATAGAAGAATAATCAAAATGTTATGCATAACGATAACATCTGTTACCACCCGTAATGTAAGGGAAGGTACATGGAGAATAAGCATCTTTATAGAACCGCTGTAAATAAGGTCAGAATAGCTCTGCTAATCCCCTACATCAGCAGCAGAAGGAGAAGGCAATTTATTGTTTGTTTGCTCAGCTATAATGTTAAAACTACATAAACAAAAAACAATGACATTAAATAAATATACACAAAATTTGCATAGACTAATTTTGATATGCAGCTAACTAAATCTTAAACAATACAGGATGAAGAAAAGCTAACCGATTCTTTCTTTGTAGGGTCTGAAATCATAATTGAAGAAATACACATTCCCATTATTAATAAAAGTATATATATATATATATATATATATATATATATATATATATATATATATATATATATATATATATATATATATATATATATATATATATATATATATATATATATATATATATATATATATATATATATATATATATATATATATATATATATATATATATATATATATATATATATATATATATATATATATATATATATATATATATATATATATATATATATATATGTATATATATATATATATATATATATATATATATATATATATATATATATATATATATATATATATACATATATGTCACGATTATATGTCTTTTGTTTTTAAACTTTCATAAAAGTAAATGGACAAAATAAATAAAGGTAATGGACAAATATAAGTAAATAGACATAAAAGCATAATACATATGAATAGTATGATATTAAAGGTGAAACACAAAATACATTAAAAAAATTGTATAATAGACCATACCTTAAGCGAAAATGATTTGTTCTTCGATTAAAATATATATACCGAAACGTATATTTGTCAAACAACAGTTTGAAAATGACACTGATAGGCGAGGAAATGCGCCTCTTTTCATTGCATTGTTTTTTGTTTTTTTTTTGTTTGCTTTTATTTGGAGTTGTTGTTTTATTTATTTATCTGATTAAGTTGTGCTAAACTTCATCATTTCATAGAATTCTCGTCGTTTGGAATGGTTTTCAGTACGTAATATTTTTGTTTTTTGAAATTCAAATGAAAGTCCATTGTTTGTAACGTAGTTAGAAAGGGCTGTTTTGTTTTTTTTTGTCATGTTTATGACAATCTATACGACTCTTTAAATATTGGCTTGTTTGTCCAATGTAGACCCCATCGCAGTTTTTACACGGGATTTGATACACTACATGGCTTTTTTTATTTTCGGGAATTTTGGCCTTTAATTTGCAAAAATTTCCTTTTAGTGAATTAAATTTCTGTGATTGAGTTCACCCTATCACGCCTTACACCTGAAAATGTCAACGCTTTCTGTCCGGAACTTGGAATGACCGTAACTGGTTTTTACACACACTAAACAGTACATTTTAAATTATCATTTTAATTAATATTTGGAATCTGAATACTTCTCATACTGCAAAAATTGCAAAATCACCAATAGCAAATAATCAAAATCACCTTCAACCTGGTAATTAAAAGTTTGATATATTCATATTATAAAGAAGGAGACATAACGAAAAATATCGCAGGGAGGAATTTTAGTAAAAAATCAGTTTGGTCATCATTCGTTTAATTCGCAAGTACCAAGAATTTTCTTGAATTCAATATAGAACAATTATAACTCAAGCATTAACAATAAGATTGGTTTGCCCCTTTCTAAGCGAAAATCCACAAAATTTTATTTTAAGTTTAATAGTGATGAAATCTATAGGAACATGAATTTTGTATAATTTGAACTAAAGATACAAATTTTTTGTCCACTGAATTATGTTTCGATCATTTTAAAAAGAAGCACTATGAATAGTTTTACCGAAGATGCCGAAGATTGCAAAATTTGCTCAAAAATGCACAGAGAGAGAAAATTTATTTGTTGGTTTTGGAAGGCACCAAATAAAAACAAAATTTATTATAAATAATAAAAATAAAAAGTTTGTTTCAGCTTCTGCTGGTATTTTCGTTCACCGACGCGGTGAGCGAGACTCTGAGCAAAGCGGCCGAGAAGTTGGGCTTCGAAACGACTTCCTGTGACAGCGATAAGGCGTTGGAGGAATACCAAATACACTCGCATGATATGGTCGTCGTCGACGCAAGAATACACAAAAGTCCCGACAACGACCTACTCTGCAGGTAGGATACGAAAAATCAAAACATTTCGCTTCGCTTTCCAACGAAACGCTTGTATTATTCGGTTCAAATCGGAATTGAAATTTCGAGAAGGCTCTAATCAGAAAAAGTCGAGATAAATTGTTATTATCTCACTTTATCAAACTTTGCTAACGGCAAGCACAATCTGAGATCCACCTTTACGCCGATGCCAGATTTCTATTTGTTTCTGTCTGGCAGAAATATCGAATTGAGCATATTTATGAGTTCCAGGGTTTTGATTTTAGTGATACTACGGCTTCCATTTTATACGCTGACAAATTTTTTATACGTGAGAATTGTGAAACCGTCAAATGTCAAAAATGTCAAAATTTTCAACTTGATAACAATGCCAACTAATGTGTTTAACATTCTATTTTGTATTTATTAACGAACATTTCCCATACTTGACTAAATTGGTCTGGCAGTTTTGGTTAGTTTGTCATTTTCTGACAATTTTAACTCTTGTGACACTTTTCAAAACTTGTCGACATTATGAGCGTAGCAGTAATACAGGAGTAAAATTTGTAATAATATTAGTACTTGAACAAGTGTTTTAATGTTGTTATAAAGTATCATAATAATTTAATAATAATAATTTAGCAATAGACGACATGATCTTGATTTCTCACGAATAATTAAGCAGCTTTAGCCGTTTCCTCTATGTCGATCGGTACGTAGCTTCCTGGATTGAATATTACAATTGCAGTTTCGCTTTATAAAAGTTGAATAATTAATAATTTTCACGTTTTCGGAACTAATTGTCAAGAATCTTGATACTAAACAAGACTTGTTTACATAGAAACTAAAAAACCACTAGAATTAAAAGAATAACTTTTTCGGGAAGCGCCACTTTACCACTTCAGTTTTGTTTCCCATGGATCTGAGCCACTCCGGACATTTCCGGGATTTTAGCGCACGGGTTTGGAAGCAATCGGATGTTTTCTGAGATATTTCCCACGCATTGAATTGCGATGAAAACTAACGGTCGGAGAAAAAGTATAATATGCAATACGTTCGGTAAACTTTTTAAGTCACTCATTTATTACACACTCGCTCCGCTGCGTTATCTCGTGAATTATGTTCAAGCGAAGACGAGGTGACTTTTTAAAAACTTTATTTTCAAAATACAATCGAAAATTAAGAGTTTCTGCAGCAGCAGCTACAACAAGAATAATCATATTACTTAAAACTAAGACTTTATAGGTTCGTATCTCACGGTCTCTTCATATTACCATCGTGGCCAAATGCTGACATCGTAGATCTCACGGTGTCCTATCCCTATTACGTAAAAATCATTGTACATAACTCCTCCCTCCTCAAGAAGCAAACATATTGGAATGAGTTTGCTCCGGCTGATTGAATTTATTGGGTTCGGATTGATTATGTTGACATTTCGGTAGAAGTTTCTTTCTAAAAACGATCATTAGGGGTGCAATGACCGCTAGAAAAAATATAATAACAATAATATTAGTTATTAAACTTGCAGACGTAGGCTGGCCAATTTCTTCAATCGGTTGTAGTTCATTTGTTATCTGTTTTAATTGATATAGGTCTTGCAAGTTAATTTGACTGATGTTCGCTAATCTGTGTGACGTAATTGGTTTAAATTCTTCTATATAGACTTCAGGTCAAAGCAAAGGCTTTCCTTTCATAATTTTGGCATTGTTGTAATAAATTTTCTTGCCCAAGGTAATGTGACAAGTAGCTGGAATTTCTATGTGTTGGAATATCGATCTTAAGGTATCGATCAATTTTACACTTAGCAAATACCAATGTATTTTTAACAGCTAAGACAAGCACATTTTCTTGCGTTACTTGCTCTGCAAGAGGTTGTATTAATTCGATATGGTGTTTTCGACAGTTGCTTATAGGCTGATTTTCAAGCTATTGAATCGTGCATTCATCCTTCGAGTTGTAGTTTTCGTGGCAGTAGAAAGTATGCTCGATTTCGGGACAGCAGGACTCTTTGAAATGCATATCTTCTTTTTCTCGTGCGACATAGGGGTATTTTGGAATAATTATCGTGTTATTTTGGATAACAGGAAACAGGTGATGGAAAGAAAAATATTTAAGCCTTAAAATAGGGAAGTGAATAGCAAAAATTATTTTACTATCTGTAAATGTTACTTGAGTCCCTAAAAATTGGTAATAAGATAACGTGTTATTAAATTTTGGTAATTTGTTTATATCATAAATTGATTTTAAATAATCGATCATTTTCTGAATTTCCAAAACAGAAACTATTGAATTGTGTAAAGCATTAGTGTGTGCAAACACAATTGCGTTCTCTAAATTATCCAGAAAATTTATCAGGTTTTGACAGTCAAGTATAATTTGGGATAAAACACCTTGAAAGGTTATATATAACTAAAGATTATTGATCGTGTTATCAACAGATCCTTTTAATATATACATTGCTTTCTCTAGTTGATTTTGATTACGAAATAGAGTCGAAATCGTTAAGTTATAATTATCAATCAGCCGTTTCGATAAAGATATTTGAGAGTTTAAAGTTTTCAAGGGAATTAGTTTGATATCTTCACTATTTACTCGTCGAAGGGCTAGGGTTGCTAACGCCGATGCCACTAGGATCCTCGGGAGGTTCATTTTCCTGCGAATTTAATTTTTGTTAAGATTTTGGTCGTTTGGCAGAATTTTTATGATACGTTCCCGAATTGGTTTTAATTTTATAGGTTGTTTGATTTTTTAAAGTAGTTTTCTTAAATTTAGGTAAAACTTTATTACGTAACTTAGTACGAATGTAGAGCGGTTCGTCAATATCGAAATTCAGGGGGTCCTCGCGTTCTTTGTTTCTTTTATCAATTATTTTTTCTTTATTATTATTATTTTCCGAAATTAATTGGTAAACCTTTTTCGAACTCTCTTTGTGTTTTTGAACATAGTCCGAAATTATCACGTGGTCACTAATGTCAAAAGGATTTGTGTCATTTATATGACCTTTGATTATTTCAAAAGGCGTAAATTTCGTGACACTGTGTATGGAGTTATTATATCCTAATAAAGCGCGTTTTACAATTTGTTCTGGGTTGTATTGTTTATGTTCCTCTGTAAGACATCGATATGCTTCAATTATAGAAGAATGAAAACCTTCCACGGGGGAGTTAGGGAGTTAGAGTTACTGTTCTTTGAAGTGGTATAATGCAACTCAATTTTATACAATTTGCAAAAGTCCTCTATGTCTTTATTTTTAAACTCCGTTCCACGGTCTGACGTGATTTTTAAAGGTAAACCATGGTGTGATACAAAAGTTAGGAAGCAATCAATGACAGCTGTTCCTGTCAGACTTTTAAGAGAATACGCTTGACCGTATCTAGAAAAGGCGTCAAGAATGGTTAAAAATATTTGGTTGTCAATTTTAAAAGAGTCAATATGAATTTGTTCGAATGATTTAGATGTCATAGGTGTTAGACTAAATTTAATGACACTGGGATTTCTATCGTATTTGTTTTTCTGGCAAGTATCACAAATATTTACAAACCGCTCGATATCGTCGGACATTTTAGGCCAATAGAATCTAGTGGTCAATGCTATTTTCATTTCAGAGATGCCCCTATGGCAAGTTTTTGTGGTGTGGTAAATTTTTAATTTTTCCTGTTGTTCGTCCTGAGATTCCATATCCTCTAAGAATTTTGAACATTGAACAAACCTGTAGGAAGAATTTAGAAATATTTTTTGTACTGTTACAGTAATGCTTTGAGCTAGTTTTTCGGTTCTAAAATAAAGTGCGTAAAGATTTTTGGGGTCTATAAATTCCTTTAAGAATTTAATTATATGTGGGATAGGCTCAAGTTTTGGAAATACTACTAAAATTGTAGTGTTATTGAAAATATTTGAAAATTGACATTGGATTCGATTAATATCTCCTTCGGTTACAATTATTTGATTTTTATAAATATTCAATATTCTTTCTGTAAAGGGAATGTTAAAAATTGGATCGCTAGTATCTAGTAATGGCGGTTGATTTTGTGAATATTAAGCAGGTCGCAGAATAATGTCTGACAAAATATTTATTTTCTTTTGGGAATTGTTTCCTAGAATTGATTCTAATTCGTCCGGATTTAATTCAGGTAATTCTTCGGCACTTTCCAAGAAGTTGTCCATAGTTTCGTTCGCGTCACCGAGTTCATTAGTCGTAGATAAAGTTTCCAAGGCGTTAAGGTCAATGTTTTCGCTGGTATCTACGGGGTTTCGCGAAAGTGCGTCTGCGGCTTGGTTTTTCTTTCCTTTTTGATATTTTAAAATACAATCAAACTCTTCGAGTATGAGGCGCCAGCGAATTAAGCGACTATTTGGTTCTTTTAAACTTGAAAGCCAGATTAAGGGTTTATGGTCCGTGAGGACAGAGAACTTTGGTCCAAACAAATATGGTCTAAAGTATTTACAACCAAATACAATTGATAGGAGTTCCTTCTCGATGCATAACTAATTGGACGACCATTTTGTGATAATATTGCTCCTATAGCATAATTTGATGCATCAGTTGTTAATTCGAAAGGTTTGGTAAAATCGGGGTACGCAAGTACTGGTTCTGATAGTATATTTTTACAATATTGGAAACAATCCACAAATTCTTTAGAGTGTATTACTTTCTGGTTTTTCTTTAGACATTGAGTTAATGGTTTGGTGATCTTCGCAAAATTTTGTATAAATTTACGATAATATCCGAGCAAGCCTAAAAATTGTTTAATTTCTTTTTGTGTACGCGAGGTATCGCGAATTTTTGAATGGCCTCGATCTTTTTCGGGTTTGGTTTGATGCCTTCTGGCGTTACTACGTGCCCTAAAAATTCGATTTCTTTTCTTAGGAACTCGCATTTGTCCAGTTGAATTTTTGATTTTGCATTGCGTAATTTCGCAAATACAAGGTGCAAATTTTGAATGTGTTCCTGCAAGCCTGTACTAAAAATAATTATGTCGTCCATATAGACCATACAAATTTTATTCTGAAGATCTTTAAGGACC